GAGAGAGAGAGAGAGAGAGAGAAAGAGAGAGAGAAAGAGAGAGAGACAGAGAGAAAGAGACAGAGAGAGATATTAGTGAATTATGAGATTCACTTGTAGGAAGAATTCTTTATAAATTTTTGGTATCTTGTGCCCTAGATTTTTGACATTGTCCTATACAATTGTTTATCTTCCAGGTGGGGCTCTGGAATACTAGTAATGGTGTTAGTTTGTAGTAGTATGAGGAGAAATATCAAAAATTATAAATCACAGAGTGGCTTTGATTTCTGTTGCTCTAATTGCTAGCAATGATGAATATTTTTTTTCATATATTTGTTGATTTTGTATATCATCTTCTGAGAAGTGTCTATTCAGGTCCTTGACCCATTTATTGATTGGGTTATTTGTTTTTTTGTTGCTTAGCTTTTTGAATTCTTTATATACCTCTTTATATACCTATCTGATGTATGAGGGTCAAGATTTGCTCCCAAGATGTAGGCTCTCTATTCACCTCAGTAAAATAAATACCAGATAAATACAGCTTGTCCCTTTTGCCAAGAAGAAACTTTTTAGTTTGATTCCATTTATTTATTGATTCTTGATTTTAATTCTTGCACCAAAGGAGTCTCATTAAGGAAGTTGGGGCCTAATCCCACATGGTGGAGATTAGGGTCTACTTTTTCTTCTATTAGATACAGGGTCTCTGGTTTTATTTCTAAGTCTTTCATCCATTTTGAGTTGGGTTTTGTGCCTGGTGAGAAATAGGGGTTTAGTTTCATTTTGTTGCATATGGATTTCCAGTTTTCCCAGCACCATTTGTTGAAGAGGCTATCTTTTCTCCAGTGCATGTTTTTGGCCCCTTTGTCTAATATAAGATAATTGTAATTTTTTTCATCTCACTTCAGTCAGAATGGCAGCTATTATGAAGACAAACAACAATAAGTGTTGGTGAGGATGTGGGGAAAAAGGTATACTCATATCATACATTACTGGTGGGACTGCAAACTGGTGCAGCTAATACCGAAATCAGTATGGAGATTTCTTGGAAAATTGGGAATGGAACCACCATTTGACCCATCTATCCCTTTCCTCAGTCTATACATAAAGGACTTAAAAATAGCATACTACAGGGACACAACAAAATCAATGTTATAGCAGCACAATTCACAATAGATATACTTTGGAACCAACCTAGATGCTCTTCAATAGATGAATGGATTAAAAAATGTGGCATATATGCACAATGAAATATTACTCAGCAATAAAAGAGAATGAAATCATGGCATTTTCAGGTAAATGGATGTAGTTAGAGAAGGTAATGCAAAGTGAAGTTAGCCAATCCCGAAAAACTAAATGCTGGATGTTTTCTTTGATTTAAAGAGGCTGATTCATAGTGGGATAGGGAGAGGGAGCATAGGAGGAATAGATGAACTCTAGATAGGGCAGAGGGGTTGGAGGGGAAGGGAGGGGGCATGGGGTTAAAAATGATGTTGGAATGTATTGATCATTATTATCTAAAGCACATGTATGAAGACACGAATTGGTGTGAATATACTTTGTATACAACCAGAAAAAAATACAAATCACATATTTTGAGCTTTTACAATTTTCATAAACAGTTCTACGTACTGTACTTATATTAATGAATTTGATCCCCACAAAGGTCTTGTGTATATGAACACTATTTTCCAATTTTTATGGGTGAAAGAACTGAGGGAAAGAAACAGATTGCATACAGACATTCAGCAAGGGCATGGAGGAGTCAGAATTAGGACCCCAGTTTGGCTTCAGCACATGCTAACTGCTGTGGTACCCTTCCTGTTACCAAGCAGATAGATCCTTCTCCTGCTTTCTTTACTTGGATGCATGCTCAGGGGTTTCGTATTCCATATACCACAGAGACTGGGCAACAAATACATCTTTACTTTCCCTGGGATAGTAGCTAAAGTTTTCTGGTATATTTTTAACACTGAACAGTCTTGCAAAGCTGCTGGATTCAAGCAGGGACATGGATTACAGCTTCCCAACCTGTCAAGCATCCACTCTAGGTCAGAGGGACATTAAGACACTGAGCCATGGGTCTTGGTCTAATATATTCTGGGCCTGCTCAAGTGTCCAAAAACTGCTCATGGTTAAAGGGAATTTTAATTTCCCTTTTCATTTTTAGCATCTGGGTATATGCCTTCTTCTCTTTCTTTCTTAATATTCATTACTTTCTTTTCTTCTTCCTTTTTTGAAGTTTGGCTATGTATCTGAACTTTTGTTTGGGGGTTTATCCTAGTCATCATTTCACTATTTTCTGTCCTTCTGGTCAGAAGCTGGAGCTTTCTCATCGTAATAGGTCAACATTTATGGGGCAAACTTCACATTTAAATGAAGACATTAATCTTTCCCATATAAAAATAAACCAGAATAAAAAGGTTAAGAAAGAGCATCTACAAAAACAGTAAGAAAATATATTTAATCAAAGAAATAATTGATATTGTAGATGTAATGATATTACCAATATGATTGTAAGGAAGGCAGAGTAAAAATGATTCCTAAATTAGAGTATAAAGTGTTTAGAATAACTCTAACAATAAAAAACTAGAAAACTGAACTGTGTTCCAATTGACTTAAACTAAATTATTGTTCTATTTTATTTAAAATTTTACATGTGTGACCTTCTTCACAACCCAGGAGACCTTTAACACACCTCTATCTCCTTTGGTTTTTTTTTTTTTTGCCAGTTTTCAATGTAAAAAACATGTAATTTTTCACTGTTGACTATTTTTTAAATTAGAACTAATTTTTAAGGAGAGGAATATATGCAGAATATTATGGTTTTAACTGTTGTAAATTTTTTTAAAATTATCCCCCTTTTTTCCAGAACATCTCTCAGTTTTCTTTATTAACATCTGTGGATTGGGAGCCATGTCAAATATTTGAGATTTCCCAATACCTGAACTTTGGTTTCCTATTTTGCCATTTATTGTGGCAGGTCAAGAAAAGTTTGCAATTCTTTTTGGAGAGATAGACTTTGAAATGAGAATTGAATACATTTTCGTTTTTTTTCTAGTATTCATGCTCAGAAATTCTCCTGAATCTTATAGTATTTTTAGTCCTTGGTAACACATTTACTATTAGTTTGTTCACATGTCTTACCATTCCTTCATTTACTGTTAAAAGAATGGAAAAAAGAAATTTGTTCCTAATTCTTCATTTGTGCATCTTAGTTCCTCTAAGGCAGAAGTCATTTTTTTTTGTATAGCTTTAGTAGAAAAATAAATAAAGGAAAGAAAAAAAATTAAAAAAAATTCAGTTCCAGCATGTTTTGCCCACTTAGTCTGAATTGGTCAAGTTTATAATTGACATCAGTAATGGAGAAAAAAAGAAAAGAAAGAAATATTTCTCATACAAGTATAACTTTGGTTAGTATATTTTTTTTACTCTTTTCTTACTCTTTCCTTCATCTTGGTCTCATGATGTCTGATGGACTAGTACAATTTTCCTTATTTACCATTTCTTCCCTATCCCTGGAGTTGAAAGACTAGATGAACAAACTAGATGAACAAACATATTTTATTCTCAACCAATCACTGAATAATCATTTCCCTGCAGAATAATTGGTTTAGGGGTTAAAAGGAGAGAGAACAAAACAAGTTCATCATGTGCCGCTTGGCTTGACTACACCCCTCTGTAGAAGCCAATCTGAGTAAAAACTGCTAGGAGTAGCCACCTACTTAGGTAATAAATGTAGCAGCAGCAATACATTTTAAAGTTTTCATTGTTACACTAGGTACAAGAGAACTGTGATTTGCCATTTCCAGAGGAGTTTTTCTAATTTTCCTGACAGTAAGTAAAGCTTTCTTTTTTTTTTCTGTAGTATGCCAAATATGTGGGTGGACACTGTTAAAATCATAATTTTTAGATGTTTTCATGTTGAAGACTTAATGACTAATTTTTTTCTATTTTTTTCCCAAACAACTTTTATCCTGTAAATATAACAGTAAAATATAGGAAAATAGCAAAATTTACTTCTGTTTTTACCAATAGAGAATTGCATAAATATTTTGATATGCAAATCTGAAAGAATAATTAAATTTGGAGATTATAAAAAGCTGAAAAACAAAAATGACTTATGTTTGTTTGAGAACACTCCGGTGAAATTACTTTCCCATATAATTTATTCTTTCCTTCTTCTTCTTTTTAAAACTTGTTTCACAGTTTGTTTCCTGAATTATTCAGCGACTAACCTGAGAAATTTAAAGGAAATTGTTTTATTCTTCCTGTGTCTCAGAATCGAGTTTTATGCACTTTGAGTCCTGATAGTGATCCCACAGCCTAATTTTTTTTTGTTAAAAGTTGTCCACTCCAATCTGAAGGTAAATACTACAAGAAAATATTTCACTGGGGTCATAAATAATGAATGTTACTTATTATTCACATGAACTGAAGTAATCTGAATTTTGACATTAATTTGATTAGCTTTGAGATTTTCATTAAAGTGCAAGGAGCAAGAAATGACTATTAATAGGAAGAGATATAATTTAATTATTCACATTATTGAATTCTGCTATGAAAGGTCAAAAAAGTGAAGTTACAGGTTCTAAACTCAAATGATAGTTTTTCTAGAAAGTGTAGAATTCTGTTGCTGAAAAATGTGAAAACAAATCACTCTACCTCTCCACCATCTCTCACTCCCCCAGATAAAGTGAATATATGTGAGGTGAATCTTTAGTCATGAATTATCACAATACAATTTTAAATCCTTTTTTTTTTTTACAATTTTTAGAAGTAATAAATATTTTACTCAAAAACATAATCATGATTTTTCTTAGTATGCTTATTTTTTCTGGTTTATTTCTCTTTGTTTATTTAATGAAGAGGCAAAATGAGAATAAGACAGATAAGTGTGTATCAGCAAACTCAAGCTCTTCTGTGTAAGAATTTTCTTAAGAAATGGAGGATGAAAAGAGAAAGTGCATTGGTATGTAAGACAGTTTGTCTCCTTCTCCAGTTTTATTTTGTTGCTTAATGATTTCAAATGTTACGCTTTAGATAACAGACCAGATATGTTGATTTTTGAGGTTGTCTCTAGTTGTATTTGTTTAATTGAGAAATGCATAACAGTCCTTGAAAAATAACCTAGATTTGTAAAGAGTAACAATACTACTCATATTTTTAAAGAGAAATTCAGTGTACTTTTAATTAAATGGTAAATTATATGAACAGTTAAAGCTACCGTGTTATCCACTTAGAATCAAGAAATTGAAATAAAATTGACCTAGCATAAATTGAGAAATGTTAATTTTATATTCTCATATTTAAGACTGTTAATTTTCTACCTAAAGATTATTTCTGAGAATTTTCAAGTCACACCACTGGGGGTTTGCATCAGGCAGCAGGCTAACTGCAGGTAACTAGCCCAGATCTCAGTGGCTTAACAAAGAAAAGATTTGTTTCTCTCTTGTTGTAATCTGAAGGTTGTAGTGGAGAAGTAGGTTGAGTAGATGGTACAATTTTTCTACACAGTCATTCAGAGACCCAGGCTTCTTCTACTAGAGACTGGTTATCTTGCCAGGGCTTATAAACCTTCATGGAATCCTCTGCATCCAGTCAGTAGATGAGAAAAAGGAAGACTTGATATAGAGTATGGAAGGTTGTGTGAGGGTTCCCAAGCCAGGCTTGGAAGTAGCATGTTATCACTTCTATCCACATCCTACTGGTTGGAACTCAAACATTTGGTCTCACTTAATTTTAGGAGGCAGGGAACCTAGTCTAGCATGATATTAAAGGACAAAGAGGTTTTTGACATTGTGGATTCACTAGAGAGACTTAAAACTCAGTTCCTTCTTATTTCCTTTAGTTTTTGATATAAGGATATCATAACAGAGAAAACATTGCTATTTGCCTCATGAACCCTCTCTGGAATACCCCATGGAATCTTGAATTGGCTGCCTAGGAGTTCAGAGATGAGCACTCAATTAGGTGTCCTGTTAGTTTCAAATGGCTTCTGAAGTAGTTCATGAATTAGTGCAAAAGTTTAGTTCTAGCATCTGAGAAGGATATATGTGGATATTAACTTAATATTTATCTTTTATTGGATTTTCCTTGCTTTGAAGAGTGGAGAATGGAAAGAGGCCAGCTATATGGGAAAACTGAAATTTGTCATCAACAGTTCTTTGATATTGATTGACTTTAAAGAAATTATCTAAGCTCGTCTCTTTCCTCCTCCTTCTTTTTGTCAAATATTTTATAGGAATGGGGCCTCCCAATACTGCTAGGACTGTATGTGGGTCTGCTTTCAGGAGTCAGAGAAAATGCCCAGTTACCTGAGATACCTCCTCAAGATCTGGGAAGGATAGACAAATTTAATATCTCTTCTATAATAATTGTGTATATGCCAATCTCTAATATAACGCAGAAGATAATGAATACAACAGCATTTGCTCCCTTAATGAAAGGTAGGTGTACTAATGGCAAGAAAGCATTACTGATATCAGTATATAATTTTTGAAAAGATGTATACATGTTAATTTGAGGTGACAATGATATATTCTGCTAACAATTTCAGCATCAAGATAGCATACAATTTTGTTAGGTTGTTTTTGGTGGTGGTGGGGGGGCAGTCAGAACAATTAGCTTTGATGAGAGTTAGATTTAGGGAGGCCCACATTCCTACTGGAAAGTAATGAAACATCAGATTTATAATTTCATATTTTCAGAGTAATAAATGGAAGAAATATAACCATTGGTAAATATTTATGGTTTTAACATGGAAATACAATGATTAATATGTATTGCTCATAAACAAAAAACTCAGTAAAAGATTAGATATTAGTTATATAACAGTAATCTCATAACTATGAAAAGATAGATAATTTGAAGATTGCTTTTTTCTACACATAGTATAATCAAAAGGTTGTTCTTTTCTGAATATAGTTCAATTCATAAACATCTTTAGAGGTCTTCATTTTAAATTATGTCTTTTTATAACCAAGATGAACAAACTGTATATTTTATTTATGAGCAAGCAGATTTGAATCTATTTACTCTTTTTCAAAATTTTAAAATTTTTATTTTTATTTATATATGACAGCAGAATGCATTACAATCCTTATTACACATATAGAGCACAATTTTTCATATTTCTGGTTGTATACAAAGTACATTCACACCAATTCATGTACTTTGGATAATGATCATCACATTCCACCATCATTTCTAACTCCATGCCCCCTCCCTTCCCCTCCAACCCCTCTGCCCTATCTAGAGTTCATCTATTCCTCCTATGCTCCCTCTCCCTATACCACTATGAATCAGCCTCCTTATATCAAAGAAAACATTCGGCATTTGGTTTTTCAGGATTGGCTAACTTCACTTTGCATTATCTTCTCTAACTACATCCATTTACCTGCAAATGGATTTCATTCTCTTTTATTGCTGAGTAATGTTCTATTTGTGTGTGTGTGTGTGTGT